GCTTTTGGGGAAGTAAACATACTTGAAGGTAGATGGAAAAAAAAAGTAGTTTTTTTACTGGCGTTTCATAATAACAACTTTTCGATTGTCATTTTAGTTTCAAAACGGCATTCTTTTAAGCACTGAGTGCGTGAAAGTTACTTTTAAGCACTCAGTGCGTAAAAGTGACTTCTGAATGCGTAAAAGTGATTTTTAAGCACTAGTGCCTAAAAGTGTCATCCATTGTTCAGGAATAAAAAACACACTAAACACAGATTTGAATTTTGTTCTGTATTTATTATGAATATTAAAAATTAAATTATTGAATTGAACGTTTGGGTTACCTAAAATAGAACTTTTTGTAGTTGCCTACTTTCTAGGATTTTAATTATTGATGTCGAATCTTAAAAAAAAAATCACATGAAAAGTTTCAGGTGTCAAGCAAAAGCCGGTAACAAAGATTTTGGGCGTAATCGGCTATGGCCGTTTCCACCAACGCAAATTTAAGTTTACCTAACGTTAAGTGCCACTTATATTAAAATTTTGTTTTCACCAGTCTAACCTAGTCTCATTAAGATAAGCTTAACTAAGCCCAGAAATTTCTAGGCTTATTCCTCCCTTAACAAAGTGGCAATGATAAGCGCAAGCAATTTGCATCAATATAATGTTTTTGTTGACATAATCAAACGTTAAAATTGAATTGAGATAAAATTTTCTCAATTTTCTAATTTCTGATGTAGTTCGCGTTCTGTGTTTTTTTTCTCCCAAACCCTATCTTTTTCGGCCACAGATACGACGTCTGTTTTTTTTTCGTTATTTTCGATTGTGTTCTTATTTTTTCATGTTAGTGATATTAGCAGCTGGCTCTTTTCCCTTTATTTTGTAGTTTGTCTGCCTTTTTCTGGATAAACTCTTCATGTTTGTTTCTATTTCCCGACTCCACGCTGCTCTAGGCACCTTCGAGTTCGTTCACACACAATGCAGGATAAACTACCAATATTTAAAACTTCTTTATGTACGAAGGCGTAGAAGGGACACCTAACTTTTTTTTTCTCAATTTTTAAAATTTCGAGTTACAACACGAAATTTTACTCTAAAACTTCGACTTATAGGTCAAAATTTCATAATTTCGAGTTATATCACGAAATTTTGCTATAAAATTTCGACTTATAACTCGAAATTTCTAAATTCGCCTTATAACTCGAAATTTCTAAATTTTACTATAAAATTTCGAGTTATAAGTCGAAGTGTTAGACTAAAATTTTGTGTTGTAAATCGAAATTTTGAAAATTGAGAAAAAAAAAGTTCGGTGTCCCTTCTACGCCTTCGTATCTATGAAATAAACCGAACCCGGACAACAGCAACATTAAAAATGTTACTTTATCGCTCTAGTGCCATAAAGTTTTTATAGCACTAGTGTTAAAAATGTAACATCAAATTTTGAGAGCGACCGTCAAAAAAAGTTTGTATTTTTAGTTATTTACATTGATATTAATGGTGGAATTTGAACAACTGAGGAAGCCCGATTGGCCGCCTCATGTATATTTTTCAAGGGATCGATGCAACCCTCTTTTTCTTCTGCATTTTGTTGCATTTTTAGCAAAAAGCATTATTGACCACGACAGACTTTCAAGAAACTTTCACATGCGTGCCTCAAAAATGTACTTTTAACACTTATATCATAAATAACTATTTATAGAAATATCTTCATTGTTGACTCCAGCTAACACAACCACAAAATCAGAATTAGTTAACTCTTTTGTAAAAGAATCTATGCTCTTAACTACCTCCCCAAATTTAGCAAATGGTTTGCATATGATTTGAATAGAAAATCCTTTGAAAAAAGTCGCAAAAAAACTGTACATATTTCTACCGTAATCATCAGTCGACAATATGACTTTGTTCTTCTTTAAGCAAGTCACTCCATTTGCCCCTATCTCAGCGCTGGAGTTTTGATGTTGCGATGGTTCAACTTCTTTGTCCTTACGTGCATTATTTAGTGGTACTATATCAATTTCATTTTAGGTTCCTGATGATCATTAGCTCTTCATTTATGTCATTAATTTCACGACAGTAGCTCATATTTTCTGCTTCAAGTACTTTTATTGATGTGAGCATGCCTCTATTCAAATCATTTAAATCATCAATATCCTTTTCCAATGCCTTAACCTGTTCATTTTGTGTGACAATTTCCTTTTCAAAGGTATTTATTGTGATGATAAGCCAAGCTAGTTAATCTTACAAGCAGCATCGCACTTAGCTTTATCCAGTGAGCTTATTTGTAGCACTAGCTCTTTTTCTTTGGTTTTGAAGGCCTCAATTTTTTTGCATAATCCATCGTTTTGTTTATTTAGATTATCAATACGCGACGAAAATTTTTCTTCTGCCTCTGAGACATCGTTCTCAAACAGCTGGCTGTTCCTCTTTAGTCTTTCGATATACATGGTTAGTTAAAACGCTGTTCTGCATTCAAGCTGTCTATAGAAATGGATTCTCCAGCCAATATGTATTGTCTCCTTTTTGTTTATACAATCACAAGTTTGTCCATTTGTATAATGAGATTAGTTTTTCCTCTTCGGTTTTTATATTTATGTACCATTTTCAATTCTCTAACGTTGGGATCTGTGCTCATATTATTCTTGATTACTAGTTTCTGCAAAAAAAATATCTTATTTCCCTAATTGATTTTCATCTACCTATATTAAATATTATTATTCTGGGATTCTTCTTTTCAGGAACCTTTAGTTTATATTGTCGTCCTGATGAGCTTCTTATATTTTTACAGTGGCGGATCTAGCATGAAGCAAACGACGCACTGTGCGTCGGGCCCCCAGAGCTGAGGGGCCCCCACACAACCAGATTCTAAAGGGACCGATAAAAACAAATAAAAAAAAAACTCGTAGATATAAAAAAAAACGAAAAATTTTGAAAGAGACGGCAACGTTGTATACCAGGATGCCTATTCTTGAAACCGGGGAACAGCGTTCTCACGAGAAAGAACGATTGCTCTGTCAGTGTTATGGAAATAGAAATATGGGCAACTAAGACAGAAGGCTTATCTCCTGTTTCGACAATAAAGGCCCTGTAGCCTGTAGGGAATCCAGGGCTGGAATCATGACAAGTAGAATTCCACTTTGATGACGTCATTCGCGACACATTTATCGCGCGACAATTGTAAGGCAACCTGACGTCATAAAAGAGAAATTCTAGTAGAATGTCATGATCCCAGCCCTGATGCACTCGACGCGATAATGCGGCAACCGCGGACGCGTCGAATTTAGGCGGCTTTTTTAGCTATTAGGCAATTTTTCGCGAAGATAATCAAGCATAATCTGATTATGCTGGGTTATGTGATGTGTCAATTGTATCATACTCCCCTAACTTCCTCTACATCAAATTCTAGGCCTGCGAGTGACGTCACTACTATCAGCCGCTTGTAGTGATGACGTCACCCGCAGACCTCGATGTAATGCTTGCGATTCAGGCTGTACTAGTGTTAATTTTGTCGTCGATTTTAAAGGTGATTTTTGGTGTATTCTCTCAGAAGAAATTAGGTGTTCTTGATCCTCGAGTATCCCAGAATTTGATGGTGGGCAGTTAGGGGAGTATGACACATCATAAAATCCAGCAAAAGATTATGCTTGGTTATCCTCGCAAAAAATTGCCTATTGTCTTCCAGACTCAGATAATTTATGGCACCTGTCGGTGGAGTACGGACAGTATCAGTGCAGTGCGGTACTACTATGATGTATTCCTTTTTGTTTAGATAAAAAGTTCCTGAATTTTTATAATTTTTTTTTCGTTTAACTTGTTTTCTGTCTCATATGTTCTCCATAAACTTGTTTTTTGATTAAATTTATTTCTATATTTGGTTGTTAAAAACATCAAAAACATAAATAACTTCCGCATACTCACTTTACAGCCCAACACCACAAGAAAAATACTTACCTAAAAAAAGCATGACAGGGCCCCAAAAAAAAAATTTGCGTCGGGCCCCAAAGGTCCTAGGTCCGCCACTGTATTTTTACATATATTTTGCCCACTTTCATTACCATCCTCATTATACTTAATAGCTATTTTACCATCTTGAATGTACGTAATCCTTGAAACTCCAACTCTTTGGTTATTTGGATCAATTTTTTCTTCAAGAGCTTTTTTTGTTGTTTCACTTGTTTGAGAGGCATTTTTCGGTTTTACAATTATCACCTCATCATTCTGTTTTTATACTGCATCGCTGTATCCCACACGGGCCACATGCAGAACCAAACTATTTTTTAGTTGTTCTAATTTTTCTTGTAGTAAACTAATAATTGTTGTTTTATCCTGGATAATTAATTCTTTGCTGTCTAACAGTTTTCTGAATAGGAATGTTGTTTCGGTCTCTAGGCATTTTGGGCAATAAAATTTCATTGTAGGAGCACTATAACTACTAAAACCCACGAACATCTTTAATGCTTTTGAGGAAGTAAACATCCCTGTTAAAGGTAGATGAAAAAAATTATGTAATTTTTATTTATTTTCTGGAAAAAAATAAACTATCATTTAATTGATACCAACTTTGAATTTAGTATATGATTAGGAATTCCGGTTAAATTTAATGTCCAAAACCGTAACCTGAAAACAGTCAGAATAAACTACTTCCACTACTTCGAACTAATTTTGCCTTTGTCGGTGTGTATATTATCAACCTTTCTTAGTAGATCAATGACACACAATGACATTTCACTAGTGAAACGGTCTATAAAATGTAATATGATGTCATTAGTGTAGATGCAGTGTGGCTTCATTATTAATTTGTCAATAAATATGTCCATAATAATAATAGTTAATAATTTGGCAAACATAACTTGCTTGTTATTTAGATCGAAATTCGTTGTTAAAATGGCAACACAAGGAAGATGCAGGGCAAATCTCTCGGTAGTTATTATAAGTACTTATCTAAAACCAAAAAAAAAACTCATCTAGCATTAGTATTTGATAAATTCCTCGATAATTTCACAATATGTGCCTATTATTTACAGCACAGAGCCATGGGTCGTAAATTCGTCGTCGGTGGAAACTGGAAAATGAACGGCACCAAAGCCCAAATCAACGAAATTTTAACTTTTCTCAAAGCTGGTCCATTAGATGCCAATACTGAAGTAGTCGTAGGAGTCCCAGCAATTTATTTGGACTATGTTAAATCCAATGCCCCTGCGAATGTTGAAGTGGCAGCTCAGAACTGTTACAAAGCCGATAAAGGAGCTTTTACTGGAGAACTTTCACCACTTATGTTGAAAGATGTCGGTGTTAACTGGGTTATTTTGGGCCACTCTGAACGTCGACAAATTTTCGGTGAATCGGACGAGTTAATAGCAGATAAAGTAGCTTTTGCTTTGGCTAATGGATTGAAAGTCATCGCTTGTATTGGAGAAACTTTAGAGGAGCGGGAATCGGGTAAAACTGAGGAAGTTGTCTTTAGACAAACTCAAGCTATTGCGAATAAAATTAAGGACTGGTAAGTAGTTTTTTTGTAAAAATAATGTTTTCTGTGCAAAATATAGTCAGATTATTATGGGATGAAAATAATGAATGCAAATTCTTCTGTGAATCGTGTGCTACTGAATTTTATGGGTAAAGAGAGATAACGTTATGAAAATCCATCTTTAGATGTAGAAGAAATTATAGAAGAATTAAAAACACAGTGTCGAAAACTTATAAGCATTGTTAGCGCAGTAAAATACTTTTGGAAAACAGGAAAGTCAACCTGAATTTACACGAAAAACCTTAAGAACATTATTAGAGCCGTTCCTAAGCCTGAAAAAAATATATATTTAGCAGATTTGGAATTCTAATTTCAGAAAATCCGACGGGTGTTTCACTTGTCTAGTAGCACAGGTAGTAGGTGTACAAAGATCATACATTCATGTAAATGCAGTCCATATACTCTTGTGCAGTCCATACATTCTCATGCAGTTAATGGAATACATGGACTGATGCAGTCATAATACAATCGCATGCAGTCATAATACAGTCACTTGCAATCGTTATAAACTCTGTGCAGTCCGAGGTGCAGTCACATGCAGTAGCGTACATTTCATATACACTCTCGAAAAATCGTAAGCAGTCACTGCGAGTGGAGCTTGCAATCTTGTTCGAAATTGCTTGAAAGGAATCAAAAGTCAATGCAGTCAACTATCATCTTTGATGCAATCAATGCAGTCAAATGTAGTAGGTGTACAAAGTTTAGTGGGTGAAACACCCCTCTAGAAAATCTGAATTTAGGATTACTTGCCTACAGAAATACACCACTGAGCTGAGGTGCAACTCCAAGTCAACTTTAGATAGGTAAAAATTTACAAGAACAAATAGAAGTTCCAAATCAAAATTGCAAGATATGCAAGTTGTATTGTATTTAAAAAAATATTTTGTTGAGTTGAAGGAGGCGAATTTCTTGCTTATGATTATTTCGTGTGTTGTCAAATGACCAAATGCTTTAATTAAATGAATATGAAAACACATTTCACTAATATCTAATTATTATTAGGTCCAATGTGGTAATTGCGTACGAACCAGTCTGGGCCATAGGTACAGGAAAGACTGCCTCCCCACAACAAGCTCAAGAAGTCCATCAATCGCTTAGACAATGGATTGCTAAAAATATCAGTCAGACTGTAGCTGACTCTGTCCGGATCCAATATGGAGGTTCAGTCACTGGAGCTAACTGTAAAGAATTAGGATCTCAAGCCGACATTGATGGTTTCTTGGTAGGAGGTGCTTCCTTGAAACCGGAATTTGTTAATATTGTCAATGCTAAGCAATAAAATTTGTTTTAATGGTTGGTGCTAGCGGTACCTTCTTTTGGTAAAGAACAAAAATATTAAATGAATTTGTATAGTCGATGAAAAGGTCAAACATTTTAAAGCTGTTACTATCGTATTGTGGTAATGACCTAATAATATTGTGATTTGTAAGAATGTTGTAAATTTATTGTGTTCACATCACGTGTTGTATTAAAATGAGAAATGTTATTTTTTCTTCATAGTTGGCTATTTTATTAAAATATGTTATGTTTAACATTTTATTTACATTAACTCTACCTATTGAGAGATGCATCTTTTTATTTATATTATAATTTATATTATTTCTATTCAATAAACATTTGTCTATTATTAGTTGATGAGTTCTATTGAAAATTTGAGCGCTACAGTGAAACTATTATTGTGACTATTTGCTTTACCAAGGCAAGAGGATTTATTATATCATTAATATTATTATTAATTATTAATATCATTATTATTTAATCAACAGCAAGCGTTAGAACCAATGGAGTTGCTGTATACGAAGTTCAGACGATGACTTTTCTTTAACGAGTTCAGGAGATGTTTGTTAAGTAGTTTACACAGAATAATGAATAAATGTCCTAGACATCAATCTGAGATCGCTATCCAGTCTATTTTTAAATGAGTTGGTACTGGAAGCGGTGACTGTTTCTTCACTTAGTGAGTTCCACTTATAGACCACCCTATTGCACAAGAAGTTTCTTCTGAAAAGTTTAAAACATCTTTCCTTCCCTAATTCGCTAGAGTGCCCTCGAAGGTTGTGGTTGTCGGTTAGAGTATACATATTCAAGTTGAAAGAATAGTAATTACTTAAGATTTTATTCTCCTCTTAGTCACGTGGTTAAATTCCTTCCCACGGTCTTTACATGTGAGGTTTCTAGTGGAATTTTAGTAATTTTTCGTTGATGGACTCTTTCCAATGCCTCAATGTTCTTAGCAGACTGAGTGGGCATACTCTAGTTAGGGTCTGATGTAGAACTTGTATATTTTTAGGATTGTAGCAACTGAGCAGTGATCCTTGAATGCTATTTGCATCAGGTAGGCCACAGAATTAACCTTTTTAATACATTTTGAGATATGCACTTCTGATTTTAAATTGTTGGGTTACAATGACGGAAGGTTTCTCTGTTCATTAGTAGATACCATCGTAAAGTTTATTTATTTATTGTTCACATTACAAACATCACGATGTGGTAACTACAAGTAATGGTTGGTAGAGAATAACTACAACTAACAAATTAGGTACTACACTAGACTAAACCTAACATAAGCCAAAAAAGCATACATTCACAAACACAAACAGTAAGATTGACTAAGATCATCTGTAACTCTTTAATATTTGTATTAAATATATTATCTATGTTGACTCTCATGAGTATTCTATTGCATATTGATAACATTGTATTTATGGGTCATATACTGACTAGATCTATATCAAATAACTTATAGTTTAGATTTCTCAAGTTAATTTTAGGAACGTTTAGGTGTACATATTTAATTAAATCACAGTCTTTATATTTCACATAATAAGGTTGAATACAAATATCACAGCCTGTTTATCTCTTCTACTCTGGAAACTTTCAAACCCAAAGCCCTCAAGCATGCTTCTATACGAAACCATATAAGGATACATGTTATTTTTCCTGACATAAAGGTATCTTAAGAACCTCTTTTGAACTTTTTCTTTATGGTCCACTTGTGTGTGGGCTGTGGGCATCCAGATTTGGGCAACATATTCTAGATGTGGTCTCACCAGAGTATAATAAAGCCTAACAATCGTTCCCAACTCAAAAGACATGCCATTTCTAATTATGAATCCCAGAGATTTATATGCCCTATTGACCATTCCAATGAAATGGGAATTGAACCTCACATCGCTCCGAAAGATAACTGCCAAATCCCTGATTTCACTCTTTCGCTCTAAATTGACCCCATTAATTTTGTAGTCATGCCCAATAATGTTGCTTTTCCGTGAGAAACTCACGACTGAGCACGTTTAATGACATTTTGTTCTCCCTAAACCAATAATCAACGTTGTCAATATCCCTCTGGAGCAGGAGGCAATCCTGAGGGGAACATATTACCCTAAAAAACTTGAAATCATCAGCAAAAAGCAGTCCTGAGGATTCCATAAGGCAGCCAGGGAGGGGGTTGATAAACAAAGTAAACAACAGTATGGGCCCAAGGTGCTTCCCTGTGATAGGTATATACTTATATACTTGCTCGAAGTATTTCTGCTTATTTTCACCATCAGAATCCAATTCAACAGATATTCCCATAGAAACCAGTCGATCTAGGAGAAGCCCATGATCAACCCCACCGTGCGGATATCAGAAGTAAAGTTCAAGATAGTCCTTGATGCGAGCTTCTCTGTTCCTCATTCAGCACAGGTTGGCGACCATATTTCGAAGAGTGGGTTTGGTGAAATAGTCCCTGAATTGGTGCTAAACGGCAGTTCGTATTGCTCAGAAGCTTTACACATGAACATGCGCAAAGCTTCTGAGCATTGCCCTGAGGCCCTAAGTTTTTTTGTCATTCTAGGCATTCTAGAGAAAATACAGCTCTAAACAATTATTTAGGATGTCAAAAAAATAGAAGTAGTTTTTGCTTTAGCCTCCCAAACACATTTGATAAATATTAATTCCAATTTTCTCTCCAGTTCATTCTTCTTTATTTTTGTTTAATTTTGCAGCCGATTCATTTTACCCCCTGTTCTGTTCATTTCAGGTTGAAAAAATCATATTTAGGTGACCATATAAGTAAAATCAAAAAAAACTTAGGGAATATGTTGCCTACATGACTAGGTTACACTGTTTATCAGTCATATGTCCAGAAAACATACCCCTTTCCTCCTACAACTAAACCTTTTCGACTATTACCAATATTACAAAAAAAAAACGTGCATTTGAAATACGTTCATCCTGGTTCACGTATTTTTGAAACCGACGGCATACCACTACACCAGCATCAGTAAATAAAAGTTACAAGGGTTGGACGAACTTTTCGAACTGGGCCGGGAAATTTCAGTCTAGCGGCCTAGACATCACTCCTAGATGTGATCTAATAGTATTTAAGTTCATTATCATCAACGCATCCAAATTCTCCATTGTAAGTCGATTGCTTGATCGATTTGTTGTGTTGAAAACTGAAAAGCATTTTTCGCATCCTACTTGTGTGCACGCTGAAGGAGGACATAATGGTAGGCCCTATCCCCTATTCCCATCCAACCCTGCATATGAATATCATGCGAATAGAGCTCAGAAATATGACGGTATGAAGTCTGTGCATTTAAATTTGAAAACCCATCCAGGTGATTCACTTTACCCCAGTAGAAGTTAAATTTTTAAGTTGAATATCAGCAGTTCGAATTTTTTAGTTCTTTAAACCTTGGACCTAATTTCATCCTGCTACCTCGTAGCACCCCACACATAGTGAAATAAAACAAAAATTTGTGTGAAGAGTTTTTGACTTTAATTGTGACTTTCGAATTTTATAATTGGCAAACAAAAAGTTGAAAAAAGTTACAATATACAATCAATGAACAATTTTTTTTTTTAATAAATAATTATTGCACAATAACAATGTAGTGTAAATAGGAAAATAAATTACCCTTCACGTTTTTTTTTTAAGTTTTTTTTTAACAAAATACATCATCTAAATTGCATGCTATACCAAAAACCTGTTACCCAAAAATAATTGAAGAAAATAAAAAATAAAACAATGAAAAGTTTTTGGTAAACACGCAACCAATTTCAATCTATAGGAATAAAGATATTATCTAATCAACAGAAATCACAATACAACTAATATTTAAATAATTATAAAAAGAATAAAGTATTTGAAATCTCTTTTTTAATACTGATAAAAAATTCATAAAGATTTTTGATTGAAACACCAAAAATGGATAAACTTTTTCAACTTATAAATACAGTAATATTCTTTTCAGTGTATTTCTATTAAAAACCATCATCTAATCCCATAGATTGTTTTTAAATAACCCCCCAAAAAAAAATAAACAAAAAATTAGATATGTTAGCATTAACATTGAAGTTCAGATAGTTAAATTTGGCTAGCTAATTTTTTGAAGCTAGCACTATATCACTGTTGCCACAGAGAAAAATGAATTGACAATTTTAAAAACCCCATTATGAATAACAATTATTGTTTGGCAACGTTTTACAGATCTTTTAAAAAAGGTCTCCGCATGAAAATCTCGTAACGAGATTACTTGCTTCAAGACACAAAATAAGAATCTCCTAGCAAGGAAAAATTAAATTGACAATGGTCAACCACTATACTTTCCACATATTTCAGTGGATACAATGATTAGCTTTCACTTTTTTTTTTTTTTTTGGAGTCCATTTTCTCCCGATTAAACACACAATAATAATGTTCGTTCACTTTTAAATATTGCGAGATTTTAAACTTGTACAAAATTTCATTGGTGGCTCTTAAATGAACGGAGATTCTGATGTTAAAATTTCGTTTAAGAACACACCTAATGAAATGTCTGGCTTGTAATGGAAATTCATGTAAAATAATAAAGATTTTAGGCAAGTTCTAGATAGAGCGCTGGGTAACAAAAGCCTATCTAAAAAAAATACCACTCCCGCTGCCTAAAATGTTGAAAATTTAATACTATTACATGAAGAAAATGAGTTTTGAATTTATCACAGACTACTTTTTTTTTTAAATTTAATGCGCGGGCGAACAGTATAAAGGCAGTAATGTAGTATCATGCCTGAACCTCTTAAATACTTTACAAAAATTACCAATGCGTTTTCGTACAAGTTACACTCCGTTACTTTATCAAACAGTCCACTTATAATAAATATTTCCAGAAAAAAAACTATTTTTCATCCATCTGCGTATAAAAATTAAAACGTAAATTCTCCACGATATCAAATAAAAATCTCTTGAATGTCCACTTGTCTTGTACATATTTACAAAAAATTACGTTTTCCGAGGCCGCCTTTCTCTTTCAGAAGTCTTGCTCGTTACTTGCCCTGGTCTTCTGCTTCCAGCAGGGCATCTTCCAATTCGTCCAATTTAGCCACATACAATTTCGGATCGATAATTTTTGGTATCGGTTTGATTTCCGTGCCCAATTCTTGTTCGATGCGATGCAACGCGAACCGGTCCTCGTACGTGATTAAATTGATGGCAATACCCAAGTGACCGAAACGTCCGGACCTGCCGATACGATGCAGATAGGTCTCTGCCATTTTTGGGAAGTCAAAGTTGATCACTACGTTTACGGCTTGTACGTCGATACCTGAAAGAATATAGAAATTAAATTAGTTGACGGAAGAACAATACGGAAACCAGCATAGTGGCTCTCAAGTTGAAACTCGACTTTATTTACTTATTTATTTATAGTATAAAAAAATACATACATTTGAAGTGGTATAAAGTTTAAATCTAAAATAATCTGAAAATCTAACCTAAAACAATTCTCCTGGCCCGCGTCTTGAATTTATCTTGAGATAAACAAAAAAAGTCAAGACCCTCATAGAACTTATTTACATTGGCAGATATTCTATTAACAGTACTGAATAATTTGGTCAGGTGTCAGGATAAAAACTCAGTGGCTCTTATTAATCCTCACGGAGTGCCCCAAGGTTCAGTATTGGGACCCCTACTCTTCCTTCTGTACATAAATGACCTGACTCACGTGGATATTGATGGAAAGTTGGCCTTATTTGCTGATGACACCACTATTTTATGGATTGAACATGACCCACAGATCTTGCAAAATAAAATCCAGAATGATATCATGAAGGTGAAAGAGTGGTGTGATACAAATTGCTTGACATTTAATATAAAAAAAACAAATATAATGTTGTTTAGGTGTAGTGTTGATGATGTGGCAATGCAGACTGACACAATTGTTAATAAATCATGTACGAAATTTCTGGGAATTACTATTGACTTGAGACTCAATTTTTCTGATCACATAACTGCACTTAATAAAAGGCTGTCTGCAGGTTGTTATGCAATAAGGGTGATAAGCAAACAGGTGAATCATTCCATGGCAAGATCATTGTACTTTTCCGTAATTGAGTCAAATATAAGATACGGAATTCCATTCTGGGGATTTTGCTAACAAACAACTTGTGCAGTCAGCATTTGTACTTCAGAAGAGAGCACTCAGGTATCTTTCTGGTTTAAATTTTAGGGAACATTGTAGGGAACATTTCAGAAGGGAAGGGATACTGACTGTAGCATGTCTTTTCATATTGGAAACAGTTACCCTAATACATAGGAAGTATGCTGATGTTTCAAATGAAAATGTTCACAATACCCGGCATGGCAATGAATTGCGCCTGCCTATACCAAGATCCACGCTCACCAAACAGTCAATAGTGTATGGGGGTTTAAAGTTGTATAATCACTTGCCTATGAATTTAAAGAGCCTAAACTGTTTAAAAAAATTCAGGGTGGCAGTGAAAAGGTTTTTCCAATCTAAGGCATATTATTCAGTGGACGAATTTTACCACGAGACATTTTGATCTGTTTATTTGTACAATTCAGCAAGACTTGCTTTTGTGACTTTTAATTTGTTTGTTATTCCACTTTGTTGCTCCATTTGTTCTTTTTATTTTTTTTTGTTAATCTAAGCTTTGTGTAAGTGCTTTTATAACCTGTTTTATTTTTTATATTTTAACCAATGATTTCAACAAAATTTGTATTCATTTTCTTTTCAGTATTTTTAATTACCTATCTTATAGTATTGAGACATTTTATAGTTTTGAATTATGTTATAATTATCTTATAATTTGTAGTCATATGTTCATTAATTTTATTTTACTGATTTGGTTTATAGTTTTTGTATTTGTATATATATTTTTTTCTCTTTGTTTTTTTATTTTATTCTATTTTTATTCCATTTATAAGAGCTTTGTTAACAACATTTCATGTTTCATAACAATAAAGCATTATTTGATTTGATTGATTGATTTGAATAGAAAGTACCAAGTACGACAGTAGGGAATGTGCAGTAAAGATTTACATCGTGTCCAATAACCTTGAGTGTATAGATAAAAGCATCCAAGACATTTGTGGCTTTTTATGTAGTAGTTAAGGATATTAAAAGCAAAACAGCAAAACTTCTGCGAACAAGAGTAGTTAAGTCTAAATAAGGTAAAGTCTGGTCAACGCTGAGAATCACACCCATCAGACAGTTTGTACCTAGCAAACTTGATACATTTGTGTTGAACACTCTCAAGCCTATTGATGTGAATCTGATGGTAAGGTGACCAAACTATGCAGGAAAATTCAAGAACAGATTTGACCAGTGATGTGTAAAGAATTTTGATGGGGCGTATACTTGTAAAGTCCTTAGCTTCCTACTGAGTCCCGGAAAATTGTTCAAAAATAATTGTTCTAACGGAAAATTCTTCGAAAGGAAAATTGTTCGAACGGAAAATAATTCGAAAAGAAAATTTTTCGAAAGGAAAATTGTTCAAACAGAAAATTGTTCGAAAGGAAAATTGTTCGAATGGAAAATTGTTAGAAAGAAAAATTGTTCGAATGGAAAATGGTTCGAATGGAAAATTGTTAATGAATGTACTTATACGCCTCGGAGATGTAAATTCACCAAAAACGTGAAAAACCTTTTTTAAATACAACAGCTCTAAATTTCAATTATTTCTGAATCTCCGCGCGATTGCTTGCTTCGCTCACCAAATCTCAAAGAGAAGATTCGCGAAACCGTAAATTCTGCGTTGGTACAAAAGAGCGCAGCTCAAAAGCGAGCGGACAAAAGGGCGCAGGTCAAAATATTATTGGCAACCAGTTCACTTCTAACCAGTATGAACAGTAACGAAACTAACCAAAAATATGCAAACTAACCCGTCCACGTAATGCGTGCTAGTCCTTGTATGTTAATATTAAATTTAAAAAACCAAGCGCCTCCTATTGTCAAGCAGTACTTTTTTTACCAGTATTAAACGAACCGTGACGAAACTAATCAAAAATATGTAAACTAGCCCAAACTAACCCAAAAAAATGCAAACTAACCCAAATCAACCCGTCCACCTAATGCGTGCTAGTCCTTATTTCGAAAAAAAAAAAAACAATTTTCCGTTCGAACAATTTTCTTTCAATTTTCCGTTCGAATAATTTTTGGTTTGAACAATTTTCTGTTCGAATAATTTTCCGTTCGAACAATTTTCTTTCGAACAATTTTCCGTTGACGCTTCCTACTGATACCAATTTACAATCGTATTATCTATGGAGAGACAGTTAGATTCACTTATTTTTATTTAGATTTTAAGTTTTTTTAAATAAATATATACACACAGCTTGTGATCCAAGGTAAAGTACAAAATTTCCAGCAACTTCTAACTCTTTGGTTGATAAAAGACACTAAGATCCTTACCTCTTGTGAATAAATCCGAACAAACAAGATTTCTGCAAAGTCCAGCCCTGAAGTCGTGGAAGACCCTATTACGATGGGCTTGAGCCATTTTTGCGTGGATGTAATAACAACAGTATCCCAATTCGGTGATTTTTTTTGCCAACAACTCGACTCTCTGCGTTGAATTACAGAATATAATACTTTGGTTTATTTGTAACTGTAAAAAAAAAATTACTAGTTATTTGCAATAAAGTTTAAACAATGAATGATTACCTTAGAAAATAGAGTATTCAAACAATGGACCTTCTGACGCTCTTGTACAAAAGCATAGTATTGGGTGACGCCCTTCAACGTTAACTCTTCCATAAGATTAATTTCATATGGATTTTGCAAGTGCTTCCTCATGAATTGCTCCACGGTCAGGGGGAATGTAGCCGAAAACAGCAAAATTTGCCTTTCGTGCGGCAAATTTTTGATCACAGTATCGAGCATACCTTTGAAGTCTTGTGACAGGAGCTTGTCTGCCTCATCTAATACTAAGATTCTGCACTGGTCCATTTGTGCAACTCCTGCAAAACAAGATTAAATAGTAAATTGTTTACGATTATACACAATAAATTCTTGAAACTCTACAGGCTATACCTGAAAATCTAATAAACAAAAACGTGCAGATTGGTTTCAAAGTTGTAGACTAATAATTATTCCACTATCACAGATAGACTTACTATACTATTTATTTATTTATTTATTTATTACAGTCCTTGGGATACAAACAGAACATAATTCCAAAAATAGTATCCCGATATTACCAAAGTAATATCTATACTTTGCTTAAAAAAAAAAAATATATATATATAATATATAAAAATTTATATAAGTAATCACAAGTTATATATCACATTGGTATATGTAGAGGTCTTCGTTGTTCTAATCTAAAAACTTAGGTAAGATTTAATTATTCAATAAATCACAAATAAAATATCACACTAGAGTTCATTCTAGAAACTTAAGTTTTAGGTTTTTTTTAAAAGTTAACAATTTTGTAGCAAATAAGTCCAAATTAGAAGTAGTACAATGTAAATTAACAGCCTTAAGCATCCTGACTAAAGGTGCGTTTTGGTAATAGTTAGTTCTACAATTCATTCAAACAGATCATGATTTCGAAGTGTTCGAGCAGGTACATTGAATTTAATTTTAGAGAGAATACTCGGGGAGTCAGATAAGTTATTAATTATTTTAAATATTGTCATGATATCTGATATAGTTCGCCTTTTTTCTAATTCAAGAATTTTGAAATGTGATCTAGCCATTGAATAATCATGATCTACAATACGGAAGTGGGTTTTAAAACATAAAAATCTTAGAAATTTGTTTTGAATTTTTTCCAATCTGTCAATTGAGTTTTTGTATCTGGGGCTCCATATGACTGAGGCAAATTGCAATTTACTGAAAACATATGCGTAGTAAAGAGTTATGATTGTTTCCTGTTGCTGAAAATCGGCACATTGTCTTTTAATAAATCCAAGAATTCTATTACAATCATTAACTAATTTGTCAATGTGCAGATTAAACATCATTTTAGAGTCAAAAAGGACACCCAGATCTTTGATATGAGTAACCCTATTCAAAGAAGTATTTCCTAATTTATAGCTATAGTTTATAGTAGTAGATCCATGTGAAAATGATAAAACAGAGCATTTGTCAAAATTTAAGAATAATTGGTTTTCATTACAAAATTCTATGAGGTTGTTTATACAAGTTTGAAGGGTTTCACAATCTGATATTGAACTAATTCTAAGAAATATTTTTAGGTCATCAGCGTAACCGAGAAACAAGCAAGATTCAAAACACAACTGAATATTATTAATATAGATCACAAATAGTAAGGGGCCAAGATGGGAGCCCTGCGGGACCCCGGAAGATGGAGAAAATCTCTCAGAGGTAAACCCTAAAAGGGCAACAAACATTGATCTTTTAAGTAAATATGATTTAAACCATCTAAGGAGGTCACCGCAGATTCCCACCTCCCCCAATCTCTCTATCATAATGTCATGACAAATTTTATCAAATGCTTTGCTGAAGTCTGTATAAATTACGTCCACCTGACAGAAAGCATCAAATGATTCATAAATGTATTGAGAATATTCTATCAAGTTTAACTCCAGACTCCTCCTTTGTAAAAAGCCATATTGTTGTGGCATGATGTCACCTATGACAAAACTAAAAATATAAGGGTAGACCATTTTCTCAAAAAGCTTCGCAAAAGTGCACAGTTTACTGATAGGTCTATAATTTTTCACATCATTTTTTTGACTATTTTTATAGATCGGAGTTATGGCAGAGACCTTCCAGACTTCTGGAAAGATCCCAGAAGAAAGAGATTGATTAAACAGCATTGTCAATGGCAGGCAAAGTGAAAGCGAGCACATTTTTGCAAAGAAAGCTGGGATCTCATCAGGACCTGCCCCTTTTTTTTCATCCAAACTTTGCAAAGCTCCCCGTACTTCATTTACACTCAGTATAATCTTAGAAAGTGTCTTATTTTTGTCTTGACGGTGTTTTTCAATTTTTTTCTTTGTAGGAGATTTTTCAACATATACGCTTCGAAAAAAATCCGAAAATAACTTACAGACTCCAGCTCCATCCTCTGCCACCCTGTCACCAAACTTCATCTCCCTAGGAGTCCCTCCATTTGATCCTTTATTTGACACAAACTGCCAGAATTTTTTGCTATTATTAGGTATTTCGTTTTCTATGTTAGAAACATATGACTGGTAGTCAGTGCCAATGCATCTTTTTGTTTGTGAACGGAGAAGTTTAAAAGCATTATAGGAGTTTACATTTTTGTTATCTTTCCATTTTTTGTGTAATTTTTTTTTCTTTAATATTAGTTTGATTGTTTCTTTAGAAAAGTAGGGAGGAAAGTCATTATTTATACCTTTTAGAGGAACTTTATCCTGTATAATTTTGTTTAAGGTATTATAAAATATTTTGACATTTATGTCCAGATTATTTTTAGGGTTTAGCAGTGATGGCCAGTCCTGCAAGTTGAGCACGTTATTGATATCAGTATATTTAGCTTGTTTGAAGTTTCTAAAGTATTTCTTTTTGCATTTTTCTTTTAATTCGGCATGAGGACAGTCAAACAAGAACTCCAAGGATGGGTGGTTTATATTTTCGGGCAACAGGGGATGGTCAGATTGAACTAAATTATTAATATAAAACTTATTGCAGAATACTAAATCTAAAAGCCTATTATTTGCGTTGTAAATATTATTAAATTGCGTAAGGCCATTAAATGAAAAAGCTTCTAGTAGCTCACTATACTTAGGTGGTACATTAAACGGCTCAAAATGAGCGTTCTCCTCGAGCCAATCGACTGTCGAGTAGTTAAAATCGCCACAAATGATTACAGGGTGATCTTTTATCTTTTTAAAGTTCGAACCTAATTTTGTTAAAAAACAGGCATAATTCACGTCATCACCATGTGGTAGATAAACACAACATAAGTAAACCTTGATATTACCAACAGTCAAGAGGGCCCAAACATCCTCAGCATCACTGCCAAACTCCTGAAGACCGACCGGGTTATATTTGTTCAAAACGGTTATGAAAACTCCACCCCCTTCTTCTTTTTTGGAGCATGTAGTAATCCTGTCCCGACGAAAAATTGAGTATCTCCTCAGGTCGACGATTTCATGGTCCAATATGCTGTCATTTAACCATGATTCAGTGACAAAAGCAGCATCAAAAGAGCAGTTATCGAAGGACAGTTTTAGCTCTTTTAGTTTAGTTCGACAACCTTGAATATTCTGCACATTAAGTGACAATGTTGAGGAAGCCATTTTAGAAATGGGTAAAGTTTTATATAAATAAGTACAATCCTATATTAGGCGTAGGTATTTCAAACATGGTAAGTTTAGTACAGCTCCTTGAGGTTGTCCTCGCTTAATATCTTGACAGCAGGCGAGTTGGCATCCTTTTTCACATACACCAAGCCCAGATATGTGTAGGTGGCTCCAATAAGTTTTTGTTTTCTGGCATCTCGGGCAAGTTTAAATAATTTTTGGTTCTCCATTGTAAGGTCCTCATTGAAGTATATTGTGCCGCCATGTAGTCCACAAGACTCGGCTGAGATTTTGCCTATATCTTTGCGTTTTTTGAATAGGGATGCTCTATCCTGCTTGTTGTTTAGCTCCACTAGGATTGGAGAATTGTCTTTGTTATTCAGTTTGTAGCATTGTTTATATTGGAGTGATTCTAAACTTAATCGTCTAAAGACAGTTTTAACTGTTTCAGAGATATTTGCAGTGCTTACTTGTTTCAGACCAGAAATTATTACTTTGTTTTCCTTTTCTTTTTGTTCAGAGAAAAACATTTTGGTTTCAAGCATTTTAATATTTTGTTTTAGGGCACTATTCTCGGTGTCATATTTCTTTAATGTTTCAGTGGCCTTAACTAGTTCTGTTTTCTGATCTTCATAACACTGCGAAATAAACTCTGCTGAGTTTTTAATATCAGAAATATCCTTCTGCAAAGTGCTAGTGGTGCTAGCTAGTGCTTGTGCGTAGGATTTAGGCGCCGAGGTCACTTATGACTGAAGATTTTGAATATCTTCCTTCATGTTGGAAACATTCTGCTGTAGGGCACTAAATTTTAGTTTTATATCTTCAGAGTCCTTTTGAATGTTGCCTATCTGTTTAATGTTGGCCATGCAGTCTTGGCAGAAAAAAACAATTACACGCGATTGCGTCATTAGCGCCCTAATTTCGCTGGACGTAAGTTTTGAGCAATCCTTGCAGAAAATGTTTCTGCAAAAGTCACAGGGTCCACCGAAGAGGTCTTTAATGGATTTATCCTTGGTAACATCCACGTAAACACAAGAATTTCTGCACTTGAAACAGGTACCCATGTTATAGATTAGGCCTCGTCAGCACTGATTTTCTTCATAAAAAATTTTGGTTTTGCCTTAATTTAGGTTTGCTGGGGCTGATTATATGTAGAACTAACCAGTAGTACAATTTTTAGGTAATATTTTGCGTAAAAAACTCGAAAAATTTTGGACTAAGAAAAATGTGTTGTTGTTGTACACATAACCTCACATATCTAATGTTGTATAGGTTATCTGTTTGAATAATCTTCTACATATATTGGAATTTTATTGTAAATGCCAATAAATCATGTTTGATTAGGAATAATTTTTTCAACCTAAATTGGTTTATTGAGCATGCACTTATTAATTCTCTATTAAAAAAATCTAAAAATTCAATACATAATAATAATGTATGTGGTCTCATAATCTTTAAAAAATTTGATATCTTTAAAAAAACACATTAGAAACCAAGTTATTTGTGTAGCATAATTGTCCCCCCAATATGACATAACGAACTCATATCAGGTCTACTTATATGCAATAAGAATTAAAAATAAAAAATAACACACCCTTTTCCATGAGATCCAAAATACGTCCAGGTGTGGCAATGATCACTTGTACCTTCTGATAAATTCTCATGATGTCATCTCGCAAATTGGTACCACCTGTTGTAACCATGATGCGTATCTAAAATAAATTGATTTTTTTAAAACACCAAGTTCAAAGGAAATTTTAAATATTTTGGAATGTATGTGACTTCAGTCTCTTTTAATATTAATTTACTAAAAGTTAAAGAAAATAAAAGTCAAGCTTTTTGTGTAGCATACTTGTCCCCCCAACATAATACTGAAAATTATCATGTCAGGCTTACTTACATGCAAGAAAACTAAAATAGTAAATTATTGATCTTACCTGTAAATGTTTGGCAAGTTCTATGCAAATTTGAGATGTTTGTAATGCCAGCTCTCTTGTAGGCACAATAACCAAAGCTTGAATGCAGTCTCTTTTGGGGTCAATTTGTTCTAACACTGGTATCGAGTAGGCACCAGTCTTGCCTGTTCCATTTTTTGCCCTAGCAAGAATGTCTTTTCCTCCTAGGGCAATGGGTATGGCTGCCTCTTGGATGGGTGAAGGTTTCTCCCATCCCTTTTCAAAGATGCCCATAAGGAGCTCACGTTTTAAGCAGTATTCTTCAAATTCATTACCTCTAGTGTCAGTCACATCCTAATAAATTTTTGAAAGAAGGCTGCTATTAATTTTATTTAAAATTTAATTTTTTTCTAATAAATAAATATTAGTTGGTTTATTCAGCAAGGAATTTATCATTTATAAGCTGAAATGAAGGGGAATCCAAAATACTCATCATTTAAACCAACACCTTTGTTATTTGAAGAAGGTAAAAATAATTCTTTTGCAGACTGGCACCAATAGATTTTTCGCTAGAAGCTTTTTTGTCGGCTATTCAAATAACTAATAAGTATGTAATTAATTAAAATAGAAAGTCAATAAAATCATTCAAGTGACCTAAATGCTAGCCCAAATGTCTCATGCAAAGCCCATTAGTGCTTTATAGCCTAGAAATAGATGCAATTACTTCTAATTATAAATTTGTTGATAGGTTTTTTTGACATAATTTCACTGTACTTACACTTGTTTGTATTCTACGGTCTTTTGGAGGGATTTTCAATTTTGCTTTCCATCCTAGGTCATCTAATTTTGAGTCCACTTTGTTATCCATTTTTGGGTCGATGTCACTGCAAGAACAATGAAACATGTATTAAAAATTTAGACGTTGGTTTTTGCATTCAACTTTCTAAAATTGACATTTTTTGGTAGATTGAATACATCATGTAAGGTCAAATCTAAAATGATTTTTATCAAATTTGTTGTTTAACCCTTCTAGGCCCCCCGTTATGGTGCCTTCTGTTCCCAAAAAAAATCACCTCAGAGGCAAAATTAAATATAAAAGTGTATGGGACCCGAGATGGGACCCAATAAAAAGCATGTAAGTATGTATATTAGAATGAACAAAATATCATAAGAATAATAAATGAAAAAATTATTATTTTATAAGCGATCTACAGAATCGGAAATAAGCTGTAGCAGATTAAAGTAAACAAACTGCAATAATGGTAGAATAAATAATTGGGAGAAACTGAAAACAGCAAAACAATTATTTGACAATACAGGGTGTCCCACGGTGGATGGCGTATTAGACGTTTATGGAGAACTAAAAAGCGGATCATTTTGAAAATTTGGCAACTGGGGTAAACAGCCATGATCTACACTTTAAAAATATTTTTGTTTATGCGGTGTTGCCGCTTCTACTCTAAACCAGTGGCAACAACGCTATTTTAAATGGAATACCCTGTATGTGATTACATACAGTGGTAACATTTAAGGGTGCAACATGGGAGGAAGCCAAGTTGGCTGTGCAAATGGGCATGGAAAAAATTAAAAATTGGCTAAACTTCAACTATTTGTCGCTAAACGTTGATAAAACACACTATCTTGCCTATACTCTATCAGATGCTAACAAGCCAGAGTATAATAGTATCAGTGTTCAGGGCATGGATGAGCATATCGAGGAGGTGAGTGAGATTAAGTACTTGGGCATAATTTTAGATAGGAATTTGAAATGGACGAGTCATGTGAACTACCTTACAAAAAGAGTGAGAAAGCTTATCTACAAATTTTATCAGATGCGTGATTTTCTTTCAGGGAGTTTACTTTTATTAATTTACAAATCTCTTGCTGAATCACTGTTTTGTTATGGCATTTTGGTTTGGGGAGGAATGTATGGTAACGCACTGCAAAAACTGAATGTAATTCAAAACTACATATTGAAGATAATTTATAGAAAACAAAGAAGATATACTACTAGTCTGCTCTATACAGAGGAGGTATGTAATATTCGCACCTTATACTTTCATAAAATATGTATCCATGCATTCAAAAATTTCCCTACTCAAATTCAATGTAACTCTGTGTATCAGACTCGTAGTACATCAAATGAGTTATTGTCAACTCGTAGATTTAATAAAGGTATTTCCCATAGATTCTTCATTTATACTGTCCCTAAAGCTTTCAATATATTGCCAATGGAGATCAGAAAAATCCAGAAATATAAATTATTTGCAAGGGAATCGAAAAAATATATTTTTCATAATTTGATAGCATTTGATAAAATTTTGAATTAAGTAGTAGTAGTAGTACCAACCAACCTAAGCTACTGACTTTCTGTTTTCTTTTAGGTATATTGCACATTATGTATATTATGTACACTTCACTGTATTGTAATTGTAACTATAAATTAACCATTCTTAGGTATAATAAATTTGTAATCTAGTTTATAATCTCAGCACAACACAAGTGTTAAATCACTTAGGTGCTTTTTGAAGAAAAAAAAAAAAGATGTATTGTACTTCACATTGAATATTTATATACCCATTGTATACCTCTGTAGTGTGAAATAAATAAATAAATAAATAAATAAATAAATATTTTGATTCTACGTAAAATTCTGAGCAGATTTCATGTGATATACCCTATACCTAAGTTCAAATGTTTTGGAATTATTGACAGTTGAAAATTGACTTTTTGCAACTTTGACAGGCTGTAAAACCTGAACGGTTAATTTAAGAGAAAAACCAATTTCACATTCCTATCTTACATTTTCATGAACTATCATTTGACACCAACTTTGAATTTACCCGGAGATTAAATTTAATTGGAATTTTTAATCATGGATTAAATTTGAAGTTGGTATCAAATGATAGTTTATAAAAATCTAAGATAGGAATGTAAAATCGGTTTTTTTCTAAAATTAACCGTTCAGGTTTTACAGCCTGTCAAAGTTGCAAAAAGTCGATTTTCAACTGTCAATAATTCCAAAACAATTGAACTTAGGTATAGGGTATATCAAATATGCTTTATTGTCAGAAAATTATAGTACATTCTATTGACAAAGCAACATCCTTAATAATATAAAATATAAGAACAGATAACAAGTAAAAAAGACACTACAGCAGTGGCACTAGCAAGTGGTAAAATGACTAACAATAAAAGAAAAATTCAGTACTTATTAGTAAATTTGTAACATTTTTAAAATTTAGAACACATCAGTTATTATGGCATTGTGAATCTATTACTAAATCAGGTAGACCCTGTCCTACAAGTAGTACAAAACATAAAACATAAAGTTGAGTTTTAGACACTTACATCACGATACAGACACAAGATCCTGTTAAAGGTTGTCATCAAAATACTCGTCAAGAGAATAAAATGTTTTTTCTACAAACGTGTTAAAAATGCAATTTTTAACACCCCTCCCGTAGCATTAAAAATGTTACTTTATCGCACTAGTGCCATAAAGTCTTTATAGCACTAGTGTTAAAAATGAAACATCAAATTTTGAAAGCGAACGTCAAAAAAAGTTTGTATTTTTAGTTATTTACATTGATATTCATGGTGAAATTTGAACAACTGAGGTAGCCCGATTGGTCGCCTCATCTATATTTTTCAAGGGATCGATGCAACCCTCTTTCTTCTGTATTTTGTTGCATTTTTAGCAAAAAGCATTACTGACCATGACAGACTTTCAAGAAACTGACAAGACATTTCATTACCTGTAAAACAAGGTGCTGATTGTTTTGGATTTTTTGACAAATGTCAAATTCAATAATTTTTTTTAGGAAAGATGCTTCCAATTTATTATTCATTCTAAAAATTCAATTTGTCACTGGTTAATGCCGTTTGTAGAAAAAATATTGTATGTTATTTGTGTTAAAAGTATTTTTAAGGCACTTATGTGAATTGCAGAATTCGCTTCGCTCATTCTGCAAACTTTCACATGCGTGCCTTAAAAATGTACTTTTAACACTTACATCATAAATAACTATTATCTGCCAATAAACTTTTAACCTTATTTCTAAAAGATTTATAATTTTGATCCGTTCTTAAATTTAATGGTAGTTTATTGTACATTTGTATACTTTTATAAATCAGAGAATCCTGAGTTAGAGAGAACCTTGGTATAGGCAAAGGTATCAGGTTGTAGTTCCTTGTTGGATAGGAGTGCGCATGTGTAGTACCCTGGTACCTCTTGTGAAATAAACAGACAGTCTCTAAGATAAAGAGATCCACTAAGGTTAACATTCCCCCCCTCCTAAATAATTCTCGGCAGTGATCTCTGAGACCTGCTCCAAAAATATACCTAACAGAACGTTTCTGAAGAGTAAACACTGATTGAAACAAACACTTACTGCAGTTCCCCCAAAAAGCAATTCCATAGCGCAAGTGGGACTCAACAAGAGCAAAATAAGTGGCCTTAGCCATAGACTGACCCAATTCATAGCACGTTTGGCGTACAGCATAGCCTCCCGCTGCAATTTTTTTATTTAAGTTGATTATATGCTGTAAAAATTTTAAATTGCAGTCAATATTAATTCCAAGAAATTTAGTATCCTGACTGAGACCGATTGACTGATTTCCAAGTTGAAGATTATCAAATGTAAATTTAAAACTGAGAACTTTGGTTTTTTCAATATTAAAACTTAGAAAATTTGAATCACACCATGCTTTTATTTGATGGAGGTCATTAGAAACAATCTCTTTCAAGAGCAGTGGGTCCTTATGGTGCCAAAGGGGCGTAATATCGTCAGCAAAACCAGTGAACATACACTCAAGTGGTAATTCAAAAAGGTCATTAACATACATCAAAAACAAAATAGGTCCCAGGACAGAACCTTGTGGAACTCCTGTGTCAATTGCTAAGGCTGATGATATGGAACTCCTGTTATTAACCATTTGGGTCCTTTTTGATAAATATGAGGTAAAGAATTTCAATGAAGTGTCCCGAATTCCATAAATATACATTTTATTCAAGAGTATGTCATGTCTAACGCAATCGAACGCTTTAGAGAGATCGCAGAAAACCGCAGCTGCAACCTCTCTATCGTTCAGTTTCAAATACAATTGCTCCAGGAAACAGAATACAGCATCACTAGTACTTTTAGATGACTGAAATCCAAATTGACAATCGCTAATTATATTGTTACGTGATAAAAACACAGTCAGTCTATTCTTCACCACCTTCTCCACTATTTTTGACAGGGTATTTAAAAGTGAAATGGGTCTAAAGTTAGCTGGGTCCTTGAAGGAGCCACCTTTATGTATGGGGACCACCAAGGCAACCTTAAGTGAGTCGGGGAATTCACCAACCTCAAAACATTTGTTGATGGCCTGTGACAGCACATAGAGAATATTATCATTTAAGTTTTGAAAGATTTTGACAGACATCTCGTCTATTCCAGCAGAGTTTTTATTTTTTATGTCTCTGATTATGATTTTAAGTTCCTCTACAGTTGTTTCTGTTAAAGTGAATGTTTCATCGATGTGTGAATGGCTAAGATAACTGAGGGGATCTAAGGCGGGTTCTATCTTGTCTGAAATTTTTTTCACAATTGAACAGTAGAATTCATTTAGAATGTTTGGCTGAATATCAGCTGACTTTTCTGCATGGCTATGCTTGCCCCTTAGGTCGTTCACAATGGACCATGCCTCTTTTGAAGGGTTTTTTGCATTAGAGATTCTATTTGTGAAATCACATGAAATCTGCTCAGAATTTTACGTAGAATCAAAATATGTAATCACATACAGGGTGTTCCATTTAAAATAGCGCTGTTGCCACTGGTGTAGGGTAGAAGCGGCAACACCGCATAAACAAAAATATTTTTAAAGTGTAGATTATGGT